ATTTTAGGGCTAAGGCTCACAGCAAACAGAACGGAGGGGAGGACCCAGCTTTCCAATCCAGCTGCCTGTGCAGATCAAGACTCATTTACTCAACATCATCTTCCTCCTTAGGGCAGAAGATTTTTGGGCAAGTAGATTCAGTTGCCTCCCTGGGGACAGTCGTGTCACTAATAAGCCCAAATATAGTTTCTTTCTTATGCTAAGCCTGGACGTCTTCTGTTGTGAGGACTCCCGAGGGATGGCCAATAGCTCCTAGAGAGGTGCGTGATGATTCCCTTTAGAGATTGGCTGAAGGGCAGTCTTCAGCCACAGATGGGCCAACGTCCACACCTGCTGTGGGCTCCACTGGGCCAGTCTCTCCCAAGATGATCATCTATACACTTAATGAGATAAGCCCATCTTTCTCTCTCATCAATGATTTAAACTAAATAAGAAAATGATATTTTGGGTTCGAGAACTATGGTTTTTGTGACATTAAATTCAAAGACAAAGGAATAGGTTATATAGGAAATGATTTCCTTTTTCCAGAATAGAGGAAGAACAGACACGGCCCCTCCCCTGGTCACATTCATCCGGTGCACGGTGACAAATCCTCTCCAGCAAATGCAAGGATATTTGAAAGGAGAGTGACTTCCTCAGCCCCTGCAGGAGACGAGTCGGAATTGCTTCTTCTCTGGTGTGTGTTTCAGTGAATGGATGTGTCCAATGCCTTCATTTCTCTGTTCTGAGTCTGGTTCCCTGCGGAGAGGTCAGACTCACAGCCAGGCTCCCACCGGCCTGGACGGGTGGCCGACGGGGCTCGTCCTAGAGGGAAGCGTTCTGGGAGAGGAGGTGACACGCCTCACACGTGCTCATGCATTCACAGTTCACAATGTGCCCAGATTTTCTGCTGGCACTCAAGAATGACAAGGCAGAGACTGGACAGATCTTCACAGCACAAACTCGGCATCGAAAGAAAAGTTTCAGCCGTGGGCAAGGTTACTGGGGAAACATGGTAGAAGGAGCCCTTTGAGGGCGACAGGGCTGGAGTTCCTCTTCTCCATGGTTGGAGAGGCCCTGCCCTCCTTCCGGCTGAATTCGGGACCCGGCAGGTCACCTGAATGCTTTCCTGCCAAGGAACGCCGGGCTCTCCAGACACAGGTCAAACACTTTCTTTTTTGCAATGATCTCAGGACAAGGTCTAACAACATCAACTAAAATGCATCCCATAAAACCATAGTTTGTTTTGTTTTTACCAGAGTTGCAGTTTACCAGTACTTGTGCACCAGATGACTTTTATCCACTCCGACCCATAACCACGTGGCAGAGAACGAAAACATTCCAATTAGTAGGAAGCAGTGTGACCAAGAGGGGTCTAGACGTGATCCCCCACCACGGAACTGGGGGCACCCATGATCTCTGCCTTCTCCTGGACTTGTGTCCTGTGTGTGAGACACGGTTCTAGCTCTTCACGTCTTTCTAACCACACTGTGAAGTAGGCACGGCCATCACCCTCAGTTCACAGACAGGGAAACCGGCTCAGAGAGGTGCATACATCTGCTCGAGGTCACTCAGCAAGTAAGTGCAGGACGGGATGCGGTCCTGGCATTACCGCCCTCCACCCCTCTGCTCAGTGCTCCTCCACCTGGGGCTTCTCCCGAGCTCCCCTTCTCCTGGCTCACACTTGCCATTGTCCACGTTCCAGCAAACCTCTCTCCCCTTCCGACGAGCTCTGCCATATACCTCTCTTTCTCAGTTTGCCGCTTCCTTGGCTAACGCTGATCTCTTCGGCTGCACTAAAGGCCCCATGAGAGTGAGGACCATGGTTCTGCTCCACTGTGTCGCCAGAGCCTAGAAAGCACTGGGGAACCCCATGTAGGTGTGTATTATTTCTAGGTTACATACTGTATAGTCCCTCTCCTTCCTAACTAACGGGTCCTTAAGATCTGCCGAGAGGGGTGAGAAATAGGGTTGGAGGCAATGGAGGAAGGCAGGCCAGGCACCACACCTCCCTCAAGTCGGCTCGTCCTTTACCGAAGACCTCCGCAGCCGACCCTGGAGGCTGGCTAATAAGACAACCGTTCCCAGGCTGCTCGTCCTGGTACCCCAATATCCCTGTCTTCCCACCTTCCTTTTAGTTAGAAGTGCCATGTGACGGTTTCTAGCCAGCCTGGGAAGTCCCAGGGTTTTGGGAAAGCTTTGCATTCTTGGTAAGAGAGACAGATGCAGCTGCCCTCATCCACTTCCTCCTTTCAACTGAATGTGATGCCTGGAGCTGTGGCAGCCACTTTGTGATCACAAGGCCCCACTCAGGGGGATGAAGAGGCAATGAACTAAGGATGGTAAACTAAAAAGATAAGCAGATCTGGGCTTTTGATAACTATGGTTCGGCTGCCGAGTCAATGCTTACAACCCTCTACTGCCATGTGACTTGTTACTACAAGAAAAATAAACTGCAGTTTGAAAAATTAAATTGTTGGGTTAAATAATTTTAAGTTACTTAAGTGTTCCGTACTTTGCAACTAAAAGTAATTCTTTGGGATATACCCCTCTCATGAGCAAATCTCTGTGGGTTAAGACCAGCTAAGCTGCACTGCAGGCTGGCCCCGGACAGGGAGGGATTATTTTGGTGTTACTCCCACACGGACGGAGACATTAATGATAGATAATTAATTCATGATCAGGAGAGTCAGATCAGAAATAGGCAAACAATTATGATCTTTGTGTGGTTTTTAGAACTGAACTGAGGGACACATTTACTGTTTGGTTCTATGCCTTAAAATGCACTCTCGTTAAGAAGTGCTGCCCACCTCCTCCCCAGAAAGCACAGCGATGAAGGGGAGGGTCTGCTCTCTCGGGGAGGCCCCCAGCCCAGGCTACACGGGATCTGATACAAGTGCAACAAGACAGCAATTGCAGGAGGGAGGGGCAGACGCAGGCCCTTTATTCCCCGTCTGTGTTCCTGGGGACAAGTTCTCCTGCTGTCCTCACGACCCCCACCCACAGGACAGGGTGGCTCCATGGTGAGAGGAGGGCCTTGCCCTGTGGCGGATACTGGGAGACCGTCAATGTGGAGAGAGGACGGGCCTTTCTGGCCCTGCTGAGCTGCTGTTTGTGCAGGCACATGTGGCCGGGGATCCCGCAAGGGGGGTTCCCAAGGAAAGGGCATGGTGCGGGCACCTGCAGAAGCCATGTCTCTCAGAATCGGGGCCCGGGCCGTGCCTCGGTCAGAGCCAGGACAAGGAGGGCCCGTGACGACTTTTGGCTGCTGTTTTTAGGTCCCATCTGGGACTTTGCTGAGGTGCCCAGTAACAACAAGGTGGAGGAACTTCTGTTTAGCTCTCGACGTTCCTCCAGGTCTCGAACCAAATCCACACATGCCACATCAGCCCCTGCATGTCAGCATGGAGCAAAACCCACTGTGGAGACCGCTGTGCACCCCATTCTGGACCTCAAGGCTCCATGCCGTCCCCACTGGCCCCTGGTGGCTTGGCAGCCCAGTGACCAGAGCTGCCGTCCGGGGAGGCCTCTAGCTAGAGTGAGCAGTCCCTGCCTTTAGGGTCCGGCCTGTGGGGCTCTGTTTGGGGCAGTTATCACACTGCCTGGTTTTAATCAGTGTCCTTTGACAACAGTCATTTTAACAGATACCATCCAGGGGCCTATGTGAGGTTGGTGTCAGGAGCTGGGCCCATGGGGCTCTCCCCACATCCCCTTGCAGACACCTGCTCTGGTATAAAATGGGTACAGGTTCCACCATGGGATATGTTTAGACTCTGTAGCAACTCATCTATGCAACTAGACAGATCCTGGGCATCTCTCCAGTTAGGGATTACAGAACAGTGGGTCTCATGGGGGTGGGTGGGGGGATCGTCCCCAGGGGCAAGTCTAGACACAGTTCGGTTTGCTACGGCAGGGGGGAGGGAGGCATCTAGGGAGAGAGCACGGATGCCGCTAGACATCCTACAGTGCAAGATGGTCTTCCACAAGGAAGAACTACTACCCAGCCGAGATGTCACCTGCGCCATGGTGGAGACACCTGGTGACAGCTTAACTCATTTATTTATTTACTTCTATTTCTATATTTTTAAAGATTTATTCACTTATTTATTTGAGAGAGAGGGAGATTCCAGGTCTTCGCTAAACAGAAAGATTGCCAGCAAGCATTTTTTATACATGTAACTTACATGCTGGATAGACTTCTAGAAGTAAAATTTCTTGGTAGAGGGTTGTGTACAGTTTAAAATATTGATGGGTTTTGCCAAAGTGTTAAAATGGTGCACCATCTGCTCTCTTGACGACAACGACGGGGACTAGGCGGGCCCGCGCCTTCCGTTCCGCTATCTGGTGTTTGCCACTGCGTGGGCAGAAACGTGGCGCCTTGTTTCATTGTTCTCCAGCTCCGCATGCAGCCCGCGCCGTGTGGGGCACCTGCTCCCGCCCTGATGGAGCCACCTCACCACTGACCTCGCGTCACTACGCTGGGCATGCGCACCAGTGCCCGTGACAATGAGGAGTGAGAACCTGCGGGTGGGCAGGGACGATTCAGCAGCTGTGGGACTTGTGGGAGGTCTACACGACCATTTGTTTGTAGAAGCACCACTGAGAAGCAACTAGGGGAAACCCTTTGTAAAGAATTATTCTGAAAATGGGTTAGTACTTAGTGAACATTCATGTAAATCTTGATATTAATATATGTTGAGATTTATTAATTTAAGAGGGATTAAATAAGAAGCAGCTTTCAGCTCTTCTGTCCTTAGTTTATGGGGTTCTAAAAGGGAAGTAAAATGAGTAGGAAAGTGTTACCCTTTTGTGCGTAAGCACTGACTTTCAGAAAATAGCTTACAAGACCTGGCCAGCGACTGCGTTTTGGAGAACCTTATCGCAGGGACGCGGGAGAATATTTGCACCCCTGTTTCAGGACCTTCGCTTTCAGTGAACTTGGACAAACGTGTAGCCAGACAAGAGTGGAGCGGGGCGGGCAGGCAGCCCAGGCGGTCTGTGGGGGTGCATGGCACTCTTACCCAGTCGGTTGCACGGGTTCCGTTTGAAGAGGGCTCTCAGCAGACTCTGGGCTTCCATGCTGAGGAACTGTGGCATGCCCAGCTTGGCTCTGCAAAACAGCATTGTAGTTTGGGACGAGAAGGATAACCAGAGTTTTCTCCAGCACTCTGGGACCCTGCTCGGTCAGCATCAACAGACAGACCAAATCAACGTGACCCAGAGCAGCAGTGCCCAAACTGTTTGGTCTTAGGGCTCTTTGGCACTTTAGAAGTCATTGAGGACATCAACCTACATTGTTTATATGGGTTCTATGGGAGAAATTTTTATAATAGCTATTTAATAATTCACTTACAAATAATACAAACATTAAAAATAAACAATAAAAATCCCATGAACAGAAGTAACATTTTTAATGGAACTGAATTACGTTTTCCAAAATAACAACAAAGGCTTTGGCTAGAAGAGTGCTATTGTTTACATTTTGGGAGTCTCTTCTGGGTTAGATGAGAGACAGCCAGATACCTTTTTTTATTTTTTTTTAAGATCGATTTATTTATTTGAGAGAGAGAGAGGGAGTGTGCATGTGCGTGGGGGACAGGGAGGGGCAGAGGGAGAGGGAGAGAGAAACTTTAGCAGATTCAGCACTGAGTGCAGAGCCCGATGCAGGACTTAATCCCAGGACCCTGAGATCATGACCTGAGCCAAAACCAGAGAGTCCACCATTCAACCAACGGAGCCACCCAGGCGCCCCGAGAGCCAGATCCTCTTATCTTGCCTCTGTGTTCAATATGTTGCCATACTATGAAGAAAATCTGGGACTTCACAGAACTAGAACAAATAATCCTAAAATTTGTGTGGAACCACAAAAGACCTCACATTGCCAAAACAATCTTTAAAAAGAAGAACAAAGCTAGAGACATCACAATTCCAGATTTCAAGTTATATGACAAAGCAGTAATGATCAAGGCAGTATGGTACTGGCACAAAAATAGACACATAGATCAATGGAATAGAAAACCCAGAAATAAGCCCACAGTTACATAGTCAACTAATCTTCGACAAAGCAGGAAAGAATATCCAATGGGAAAAAGACAGTCTCTTCAAAAAATGGTGTTGGGAAAACTGGACAGCACCATGCGGAAGAATGAAACTGGACCATTTTCTTATACCATACACAAAAATAAACTCAAAATGGATGAAAGACCTAAATGTAAGACCTGAAACCATAGAAATCCTTGAAGAGAACACAGGCAGTAAGGTCTGACATCGGCCCTAGCAACATTTTTCTAGATGTGTCTCCTAAGGCAAGGGAAATAAAAGCAAAAATAAACTATTGGGAGTACCTCAAAATAAAAATCTTCTGCACAGCAAAGGAAAGAATCAATAAAGCTAAGAGGCAAACTACTGAATGGGAGAAGACATCTTTAATTGACATAGCTGATAAAGGGTTAGTATCCAAAATATATAAAGAACAGATACAACTCTACATCCCTCCAAGCAAATAATCCAATTTAAAAAATGGGCAGAAGATATGAACAGACATTTCTCCAAAGAAGAAACCCAGATGGTGGACAGACACATGAAAAGATGCTCAACATCACTCATCAGCAGGGAAATGAAATCAAAACTACAATGAGATGTCACCTCACACTTGTCAGAAAGACTAAAACCCAAAACATAAGAAACAACAAGTGTTGGCAAGGATGTGGAGGATGTGGAGAAAGGGGAACCCTCCTACACTGTTGGTGGGAATGCAAACTGGTGCAGCCACTCTGGAAAACAGTATGGAGGTTCCTCAGAAAGTTAAAAATAGAACTGCCCTATGATCCAACAATGACACTACTAGGTATTTACCCAAAGAATACAAAAACACTAATTCAAAGGGATATATGCACCCCTATGTTTATAGTGGCATTATCTATAGTAGCCAAACTATGGAAGCAGCCCAAGTGTCCACTGACTGAGGAATGGATGAAGAAGATGTGGTCTATATATACAACAGAATATTAGTCATATAAAAGAAAGAAATCTTGCCATTTGCAAAGACTTGGATGGTGCTAGAGAGTACTATGCTGAGTGAGATAAGTCACTCAGAGAAAGATAAATACTATATCATTTCACTTGTATGTAGAATTTAAGAAATGAAACAAATGAGCAAAGAAAAAGAGAGAGAGAGAAACCAAAAAACAGACTCTTAACTATAGAGGACAAACGGATGGTTAGCAGAGGGGAGGTGGGTGGGGGTGGGGGAAGCAGGTGAAGGGGATTCAAGAGGGTACTTATCAGGATAAAAAAAATACAAAATGAAAATAAAACAAAATCCAGTAATCTAATTTATCCAAATAACTGCAAAAAAAAAAAAATCAGGGAAAGGAGGAGCTTGCAGCCCCCAGGAGGGTCTCAGACCCCCAGGGGTCCTCAGATCATGCTTTAGGATCCATCGGACCCCAGTTTGGTGCTACCCATTCAGAAGTCCACACCTAGGATTAGCTGGAGGGAATTATTCTAGTTTTAGAAAAAGTAAAGATCTTGATCCCTCTTAAAATTAAGAGAAACAGAGATAACCAATACAAAATAATAGACTGCAGCCACATGTGTCGGCCACAACGAAGGTCACCTGATACCGGAAGACACTGCTCAAATCCTCTCTATGGGTTTCCTCCACTAATTTCTATCCTTCCATTTATACAATGGGGTAACCTACAAAAACCTAAGCTTCTTAGGTTCCTCTCGCTTTTATAAAAGTCCATCTGCTGTGTTGAGAGAGCTGGTCATGAGGACCAGCAGCTTTATGGCTTGTCCCTCAGGTGCAGGAGTCCCTGTCCTCGCACAGTAGGGGGACCTCAGTTTGGAGCTGGGGTCTACCTGTTCCCCAGCCGCTGCCCTACTCCCATCCACACTCCAGAGTCCCAGATCTCCCCCTTCTGACATCATGCTTAGATGGAGCCTGCTCATGTGTGAGGTGTTATAGCAAGACCAGTACTGGGTTTAGACTTCTTTCTAGGATCCCAAGAGCAAAATCCATTTGCATGGTAAATGATTCTTCCTGAGAATGGAACAGAAAATTTGTTTGTATTCAATCTCACGGGCAACATGATTCCTGCCAACGTCAGGCAGGAGAGCTTGGGTACTGCACGAATGGGGTCAAGAGGTAGAGAAAGAAAGGGGACCCCTCCTCTTGCGTTCCCTCTGGAGCCCCTAAATCCTTCTGCCCTTCCGAATCTGTACTTTGTTTGTGATGGTCACTAATCACCACTTCTAAAATCCCTGTCATTGGACAACATACGCCATTTTCCATGTCATCTGTGGCAGAAGACTTCATCAGGGTCACTCAGCGATCCATTCACTCTATCCACTGTAATTAAAATGCCAGGAATGCTTCTTATGGTTATTGCTAATGCCTACTCAACGATCTGGGCTTCCAAGATGGAAGCTCTTGCTATCAGGAGGTGCTAAGGAGTACTGGACGGATGCCCAAGGGTCAGTGTTTCATACTCACTTGAGGATGAGGGCCATGGTCTCCTTCCTGTCCTTCCCCTGGAATGGCAGAGATCCCGTGAGCATCTCAAACTGCAGAGCAACACAGAACAGGGAGAGTGTTCAGACTGACCGGATGTAATAGCAGACAGCCCGGATGGGCAAAATGCAGCCACGTCCACTAATCCATTCCAAACCCTGATGCATGAAGCATAGGCGCCGGCCAGCTTGTGCTGTGTACATGAGCGACTGGAACGGCCTCAGGGAGCTCACGGTTCAGTGGGCGGCGGACAAGGGACAAACAGCGGAAGTCTGCAGTGGGTAAGAGGGGCTGAGTGCGGTGGAGATGAGAAGGGGGACATGAAGGGGCAGCGGTTGGGCTGCACAGCTTCTATGGGGTTGGTTGAGGACCCGTCCTTCTCTGGTGGGTGCTGTGGAGGGGACCAGGGCAGAATGACTTCAGTCCATCCGTAGCATCTGGTGAAAGCACGATGGCACCAATAACATTTCCAGTACAGGCTGCCACACACCGAAAACAGTAAGCGGACCTTTGCCAGGATGGGCTCTGTGATAAAGATGGGGCTGAGGCTCAGCCTTCCCCGAGCAAGGATTTCTCTCTCACACAAAAGCCCTGACGCCGCGGGCTCAGGAGGCAGGGCCGGCAATCACACGGCATCCCCACCGCAACGGGCACACCGACCCATTCGGAAGAAAGTAACCAGGGCAGCAGCCTGTCCTTGAACACAGGACACCGAATCTAACTGAAATGGGCCACAGCATCCATCCCGGGCCGTGTCTTCGCGCCATTTCAAATTACTATTGAGCCTTGAAGGACACAGGTGTGAACAGCACGGGTGTGAGATACCCACTACATACATGGGTCTTTTCCCAATAAATACGGTACTGTATTGTACATGTATTTTCTCTTACGATTTTCTGAATAACCGTTTCTTTTCTCAAGCTTACTTTATTGTAAGAATACGGCATGTGATACATACAATGTACAAAATGCGGATTAATATACCGTTTATGTTATCATAGGGCTTCTGATCAACACCAGGCTACTACCAGTTAATTTTGAGGGGAGTCAAAAGTTACATGTGTATTTTCGACGACCTTCAGGTCAGCGCCCCTTATCCCCATGTTGTTCGAGGGTCTACCGTATAAGAAAACAGCCTCAGTGCAGGAATTTGTACGATCTTATTAAATTTGCCTTAGTTTTGATTCTGACGGCGTGTCTCTGTCCCTTTAAAATTTATCCTATTGTATTTTACCTCTGTATTATGAAAATCTTGGGAAATACATCAAAATAGAAAGACCAAAACAATCACCCATAATCCCATTATTCAAAGAAAGATGGAATTAACATTTGTTATTTCCTTCTAGTACTTTCTTGAAGCTGTTTTTTTTAAAAACATGGTTTTATATATTCACCTTTCACAGAATAAGATAAAAACTTCCATGCTGATTATAAAATCTTCCTAATATCAGTTTATATGTGGATATGCCAAAATATGTTTATTTGTTGTTGGACACTTAGAGCATTTCCAACTTCCTGCTATTATAAGTAATACTGAAATGTACATAAAAGCTTTCCTAAGATTTGAAGTTATCCTTATGATGTGCTACCAGGAATGAAATTACAAACTTAATGAAATGAATGTAGTTAAGGCTTTATTAATATTCTTGGTTTGCTTTCTGAAAGTAAAATTTTAAGAGAAATTTAAAAATTCCTGCCTGTTGTGATGTTCGAAGGCTGTTCTGCCATACCAACCACCACTTGCTGTCTGTCCCATGCGCACTCGTTTGGTGCGGGCACACAGAACAGACTGCAGGCGACCAGACAAGATGGAAGTCATAAAAACTGGGAGCAAGAGAGTCCCTGAGAGAATCTGAAAGTGGACAACCAACTAAACCGAAAGGTAGAATGCTTCGGCAGATGCGCTGTCCATCTGGTAAAACAGGAGGAAAGTTTATAAGTTGATCCTAGAAGTTAAAATATGTCTTAAAATAGAATCATATTAGCAAAGAAAATTCTCTTCCTATTTTGGTTCTATCTTTTCTTCCCCTCCCTCCTTTCTTACTTGAGTCTACTATGCATGAAATTCAATTTCAAGGAAACGGCTTTTCGGCCACGTGAAACCAGAAAGCCATTAGTCATTGCTACAAACATGAAGCCCATCCTAAAGTCTGTGCGTCATGTAACTATCTATTATGAATCAACCAGCAACTTGCACCCATCTGCCTAGTGATTACTTCTTAGCTTTGACTATGACTCCCAGGAGCCACATCCTTTGTGTTCCTCTCCCTCCAGCCTGCTCATCTTCCTCCCACATTGTTCTTCCCCATGCAACACAGTGGGAAATCCTGAACCATTTAGGAATACCCAACACCCGTACGGTGGCGTGCGTGGGTGTTCAATGAATGAAGATGATGATGGTGGCGGTGATGATGGCAAAGCTATGTATTTTCTCAACCCACCTGTGTCCCTCTGCTTTGGCTTCACTTCCAGCCCCTTTAAGGGTTCCCATTCTATCACACGGGGACAAAGGAAGTCATTTCAGTATTACTGTTCTCACCAAGAAATTTCTCAGTATTTAAGTGTCTCATTAAATCAGGGCATTTCTGATGAACTTTCCTGGGACATTATATACAGTAGGAGTTTTGGTCTGGTGTTGAACAAGACTGAGACTGGCCAAAGTTTCCAGGGCAAACTAATATAAACCATGGTTTGCCGTGGGGTCTCATAGTCCAGCACAAGTGCTGGGGGTACCCCAAGGGATGCATTCACAAGTGATCTCCAAGGTCGGCTGTGGATATGTGCAGAGGGAACCTGAAGAGACTCGGGTATAGCTTCACTGTGAGTAGTTATGAGATTTCCAGAAAGATAAATATTTTGATGTGTCTGGGGACAGTTTTGATGGTCAGAACTGGAGAGGCTGGTGGGGTTGGTGCCACTGGCGTTTACTGAGTAGAGGGAGGGATGCCACTTCCCATCCTACAATGCAGAGGACAGCCTCTACCCAAAGAATTGTCCAGCCCCAAACCTCAACAGTTGAAAGCCCTGTCTAAAGGGACATCCAATGAACCTGAGGAGTGGCCAGCCCTGGGGCGCTGGCACAGAAGGAGCCCCAGTGGTGCTGGGAGCAGCGGAATGAGAAGCTTCTCTGTAAGGGGGACACTTCATAGCAGGGAGCCTACAATTCAAGTTCATTCAGTTGATCAACATTCTTATAAAAGAACTCAAGAGCAAGTTACGTCTTAATCTGGAAGGAGACAAGCACAAATCCTACAACGAAATGGACTGTTTGAGATGGCAGCAGTCCCCGGGGCTGGGTGCGCAGCGCTGGATTTTGCTCACCAGGTGTATTTATGTTTGTGCACAGGTGTCAGGGTGCTTGGGGCACAGACGAGTCCCCGCCTCACTGTGCACCACCCCTGCTCTGAGCACTCGAAGGTCAACGCTGATCTGCTCCCCTCAGCAGCCTCGGGAGGAAGCCTCGGGTCTTCGCGTCCTTTCCCAGGGGCGGCGCCTGAGCCCTGAGCCAGCTATATGTGCGCGGCTGTGTACAAACAATTTACACAGACACTTGCGTGTGAACATCTACACACGTTTAGTGCTGGCAAAGAATGGGAGAAGAATCTCAGGTGGTCTCACAGGTGACCTGGCATTCAAGAGATGTTTCTAAAGCACCCACAAAACACAAACCCAATGTCCTCCTGAAGACTGAGTTCCAGACGAGTGTGGAGATGTTAGGGACCTACCATTGCAACGGACACCATCACTACGGCTTACGTTCTTTTCCAGTTAGAAGTACCTAACTTCAGACATTCGATTCTGTTCAAGAACAAGGATCGCCACCATGACCGTAGGTGTCTTCACACGAGCTCTCTGGAGGGCACTTGGGGATCGTGAGAGGACATGGCTATCGTTCCTCAGTGGAGAAACGCAAGGGATGGGCAGCAAGCCCCTGCAGGGCGCAGACCGTTCCTCGGGCCGCTCCCTCCGTGGATCTGCCCCCTCTTTAACAAAGCCGGTGCAAGGCACCCTGTAAATACAACATGCCCTCAACTGACTCTTCCCGAAGCCGAGCTCAGACACAACACTAAATGCCACACCAGACCCAGCCTTCTATTGCAAATGGCAATTTGGAAGTCATTCCTGGTGTTGCCCATGGAAGTGCTGAACACAGGGATCCTGACATCTGGCTGCAAGCTGGTTGCTCCTTGGGGCCAAAGGGTTTGATGGGCAGGACGAAATGAGAATATGGCTTTAGGACAATGATGTGATCTTAAACCAATCACCGAAGAGCCTTATTTCCACTTCTGTAACCAGAAAGAACGGTACCTTGCCCATGTAACGTGGAGATTTTTTGGTTCAGATGAAACGCGAAGGGGCCTCATAAACTCAGAGCCACTAGACGTACTCTGTTGTCATCGACAGTCCCTCCTGCTTCCTGCCGCTGAGTAAAACAGCCATGCTAGAACCAGCACCGCGCGCTCCCCCAGCTGCTGTGAGACACTGAATGCGGGGTCCTTTCAACTGAAATGATGCCACCAGTTCAAAGCAATGCCCAGTGCCCACAGTCTCTGGTGTGTCAATGATGCCAGATAGTAGCTGGAACCAGGTCTCCTTTAGAGAAGCCAAGAACCAACCTCTATGATATTCCTCAAACTCCAGAGCATTCCTATAGCTTCAGGACAAGGAAGGGCAGGGGACCCCAGGTGGAGGTTAGGCTGGGGAGCCCACAGCTGTGTCGCCCCCACAGGGCACAGAGCTCACTGAGCACGGCCGCCGCTGTCTGTGATGGGAGTCCACGCAGAAGGTCGTGGGGGTGCTGAGGAAGTGCCCTGTGCTGGGGAGACATTCTGAGGGGGGGAATTCACAACATAAGATGACAGACTTTTAAGAGCAACTTGTCAAAGTGCCAAGAAGACACAAGACAGAGCCAAGCTAAGGTTCCCCAGGAGACACCTCTGAACCCCACCTCCAGACATGGCCCAGGGCTTCTGCAGCCAGGAAGTGAGGCAAGTGATTTGGTGGCAAGGCACGTGGCCTGGGCACACAGAAGCTGGGCTTGGGATGCGTAGGAGCTGGGCTGGAGACGCAGGGAGCTGGGCTGGAGACGCAGGGAGCTGGGCTGGGGATGCACAGAGCTGGGCCTCACACCAGCTGAGCGACCTTCCATAGTGTCAGAAGTCCGGTCTGGGCTGAGGGCATGGGCAGCATGGAAGGCCACGGGCACAGTGCTGGCTGGGAGGATGGGCGGAGGGGCAGGGTAGGAGGAAGGGAGAGGAAGGACCATCTGGGGACAGGAAGCCAACACCACTTCTCTGACTACAGAATCCCCCGGGCCAGGTGGTGTCTGTGAACACGCACGAGCTAAAGAAAATTCAAGTTCTCGATGTAGATGTAAAAACATCTCAGTCCATGTGTATTTTGGCTCATGTTAATTTTTGTAACTAAGTAGAAGGATTTTGTGTTTGACATAAGACAAATGTCTTTAACATGAAAATCACTGCATCCCTTAAAATCTTCATGCTCAGTAAAAATGTTAAGTATAAAGAAGGTTTGACTCTTCATGCATTTGTGTCCTTATCTGAATCCCAGTTCTGTTTCCTGGGGGTGGGAATTTGGGATGGGCAGAGGAGGTTGCAGGAAATGGTGGCCTCCTTGTCCGTGGGTCGCCCGGGGACACACTGCCTGTCCACATTTCAAGCACTGTTTCCCCTGCTCATTCCTGGACCTCTGAGCCAACCTGGGGATGGGACCGAGGGTGGGGGATCAGCGACAAGGGATGCCGCCGTGGACCGGGGAGGACCATTACCATGAGCACGCCGAAGGACCACCAGTCAGCGCTCTGCGTGTGTCCCCGCCGGTTCACCACCTCCGGCGCCATGTACTCTATCGTCCCGCAGAATGAGTAAGCTCTCTTGTCGTGGTCGATGGCCTCCTTACTCAGCCCGAAATCTGAAAGTGAAACAGCACACGGCACCGCCTCAGTCGGAGAGGCACCAGGACTGTTTCCATGCTGACCCCCAACCCGCGAGCTTCCGCGTCACTTATGGGACTTCAGCCTGCTCTGTCCTGGCCACAGCACCCCCCTCGGATGCAAGTGTCCTCACGGCCCCGCGTGGTACGTTCCCCAGCTCAAGGTCTTCCAGGCATCTACAAAGCCCGGAGGGGCCCGGTAACAGCATCGAGAAGATGTATTTTGCCGAGACTGAGGAGAAGTCCCAGGAGCCCTGCTGTTTAAGAGGCACGGCAGGTGGCCCGGGCATGCTGATGCTGCAGGTCCCCAGGCTGGGATGGACGGCCAGCCCAGCCGGAGCTGCGGGGATGAGATGGGAGGGGAGGGGAGGGGGAGCCCTGAAGAAAAGGGCTGGAAGAGAGATTCCGGGCAGAAGCCTACTGGGGAAGGAGGTCCCTGGCGGTGAGGCACGAAGGGAAGACAGGCGAGTCTGGTAGGGACTGTGGAGCGTTTGCCGTGAGCGCTTCCCCTCTCCGTCCTCCAAGAAATCCTCAGTCCATTCTACCTTCTTCCAAAGCTTGTGTGTTCATGCACTTAGTGGCTGAAGGACACAGGGAACACACTGCCTCTAAGATGAGGGCACCGCTTCAGTTTCAGCATGTTTGAGAAGAAGGATAATATCCATCCGTTCCTTCCAGGGCCACGTGCTGAGCGAGGACATCAAACACTCGCAGGGGTGGGTTTGCTCACTCGCAGCAAAGTGGCTTGCTTTACACATCAGAGTCTGGGACGGGGCTGTCTGTAATCTGTGCCTGGCCCAAATGGCGAATTATCACATATTATGAACTTGAGGTCATGATTAATAATAGTAATAATAATAATAGAATCTATGATCATTAAATCAGAGAAAGCCCAAACTGTGTCATATTATAGATAAATTGGACGTGGTAGCTCCATATGCATTCCAGCTGCCGGGCACAAGGCACAAGCATGACTTTTATAGGATACGTTCAGTTCCTCATTTGGCAGAGAACGCATCTGAAGTATTAACAGAACCTTCACTCTCCACCGCGTGCCACGTGACTCTGAGGGCATGACATTACAGGCCAGGAATGGGTGGGCTGAAGGTTTGCTGAAAGGGATAATCAGGGTCCGGTATAGAAGTTCATGAGAACTTTGTAAAAATCGAACTTTGAACATTAACAAGCCTGTAAAAATATTTAACCAATATTTATTGCCAGTTACTTATGTGCATTCCGCCAAGTCCTGGGGACCCACGAAGACAGGGCAAACCCACCCTTGAGAAGACAGGGCGTGGTGGGACGCGGGCCAGCAAGTGAGCGGCAGCGCGACCACAGGGGGCCACAGAGTAGGGAAGAAGGGGTGCTGAGAGAAGCTTTGAGGTAAGAACAGGGGTTGGCCAGGCACCCCGAGCAGGGACAAGCTTCTAGGGGAGAAGAGGAGAGGGTTAGTTCAGGAAGAGCGAACTGGTGGACACGCAGGAATGGGCACGTGTGGACATGAGGCAGAACCAGGTCAGCAGGGCAGCTGATGGGGGACTGGCCCCCAGAGACGCCCACACCCAGAGCCCCAGAACCTGTGAGCAGGTCACCTCACAGGTCAAAGGGGTCCTGCAGGAGTGATGAGCCAAGGATCGTGAGATGGGGTGGTTGTCCTGGATTATCCAGGTGGGCTGGGTGACACAAGCGCCCTTATGTGGATTTGGGGGCAGAGCCACAGAGTTTAGGGAAGGCCGTGCTGCTGGCCGTGAAGACGGAGGATGGGGCCACAAGCTGAGGGATGTCAGCAGCTCCTAGAAGCTGGAGAAGGCAGCAGAATGGGCTCTCTGGAGCCTCCCGAACGATAAGATGAGCAGGTGTGCTATTGGAAGCCACGCAGTCTGTGGTGACTGTGACACCAGGAGGAAAGGATACAATGCGTGCCATGGAACTGGGGTGTGCGTTTTCAGGTTGCTCTAACTGCGTGGCAACGGGAGAGGCGTGAGGTTTCAGTAGGAAGGCAGGCTCCCACGTGCATTCGTATGTGGTCCCTGAAGGCAGGAGGGGACCAGAGTCTCCCGGGAGAGCACCGATATTTGCCCCACATCAGTACTGCGCATCATCATTCTTGAACAAACAGCCAGGGATGAGAGTCTGCAGGGAAGGTGCTGGAAGGTTCTTTGGTCAGGAGAGAGGGAAGGAAGGGGACCTGGAAAGTTTGAGCATTTCTAGAGGCTGTGAGGATGCACACCAATGTAACAGAAGTGAGGTCTATGAAAGCTTCGGCCAAATCAGAGACACCACCAGCAAATGCCGGTGCTAGGAGGGCTTTGGCTCTGAGCTGCTCCCCACATTTACCAGGGCCGAGGTGAAGTCACCGGGAGACTGCCGTCCTCTACAAACCTGTGATCTTGATGTGTCCCTCTTCGTCCAGCAGGATGCTGAAAGAGAGCGGAGAACACAGATGCTTTACCAGAGGCCTGCTCAGCTGGGGGGCATGCAGACCTCGGGGGACACAGCAGGGCGGCCTGGGCAGCAGTCCCCACGCGGGGGTCGCCTGCCACGTGCAGATGTGGGCTTTGGGATTTACTGCTTCCCCCCTCAGCAGCTTCTGCTGGGTCACGAGTGGATTCAGATCCATAGTGTTTAGGGTTAACCAGGCAAAAGCTGGGACCTGCAGGCTCGAGACTTTCTTTAGCCCACAGGAAGGTTCAGGAACCCTTCAGACCATCCTGCATGAAGAACGTGATTGAGAGGGTCCAGGATTGCCTTGGCCTGTGGAGATCTGCATCCTCTTGAATTTTTCCCTATCCAGGCAGACCCTCAACGGCCAGAGGCCCACTATTTCTCCCCATCACCCCTCCATGAGCCCCAACCTGCCTCTCGGGATGCCTGGGGCCTCAGCATCAAGGAGGCTTGGGGCTCGGCAGGTTGCACCTTGTCACACGTGCTATATCCCACAGGGTGCCTTTGTCCCACCAGTGCCTGACACCCGGAGCACCGGCCTAGAGGGAGCGCCGGCCTTGCTCTTCCAAGCTCTGCCGGGGGAAGGGTGCTCCTCCTTGCAGGGCAGAGGGTGGGCCGCAAGGGAGGACGCAGGCCAGCACCTGAGGAAGCCCTTCTCCCAGGCTGTCAGCCCTCGGGGTTCCCCAGGGCTCCTAGGCTTCCATTTCTTTCTTTCTTTTTCTTTTTCTTTCTTTCTTTTTCTTTCTTCCTTCCTTCCTTCCTTCCTTCCCTCCTTCCCTCCTTCCTTCCTTCCTACCTTCCTTCCTTCCTTTCTTTCTTTCCTTCTTTCTTTCTTTCTCTTTCTTCTTTCTTTCTTTTCTTTTCTTTCTTTCTTTCTTTCTTTCTTTCTTTTCTTTCTTTCTTTCTTTCTTTTTCTTTCTTTCCTTCCTTCCTCCTTCCTTCCTTCTTCCTTCCTCCTTCCTTCCTTCTTCCTGCCTTCCTTCCTTCTTCCTTCCTCCTTCCTTCCTTCTTCCTCCTTCCTTCCTTCCTCCTTCCTTCCTTCCTTCCTCCTTCCTTCCTTCCTTCCTCCTTCCCTCCTTTTTTGCTGTAATCAAATCTTGTCCTCTCAGCTCCTGGGAGGTAGCAGCCCAGCCTTGAAGAGACCAGGAAGAGAATGGCGAGGAACCAAAGCAAGGCCTTGAGGAGTCATAGGGGCTGCCTAAACAGGCAGGGAGAGTAGTGGCGTCCTGACCCACGTGAGTGCACAGATGGATCTGCGGACAAGGAGCTGAGTGCAGTGAACCAGGCAGCACAGAGGAAACGTACATCCCACGAACGAGGGGAACCTAGGGCAGTCAGATGCACAGAGGCAGACGTAGACGGTGCCAGGGGCTGGGCAGGGGAGGTGCAGCGGGGAGTGAGCGTCTCACGGGGACAGAGTTTCAGTTTTGCAAGGTGCAGAGAGTTCGGAAGATGGACAGAGCTGGTGGCTGCACGGAGCTGGGAGTGTGGGCACCGCCACAGGGCTGCACACTTACAAAGGGCTAAGATGCTCATTTCTACTGTTTTTCTTGCCACAGTTAAAAAAATCTGCCATGGGATTAAAAAAAAAAAGACCTACTATTTTATTGAAATGTGAAGGAAAATGTTACAGTGCATCATTAAGATGACAGTTTATCATGAAAGAGGTGAAAGTTTTCGTCTTTGGTTTTGAGTTATACTTAATCTTTGCCCAGAAATGAGCAGCTTTCAAGATTAATCCCCTACTAACTCTATTTGACAACAAAATCTTCTTTCTTCAACTCTGTGATTAAATATTACTATTTTAAACTGTAAAGATCCCTTTGACCTTTAAAGAGAGAGAGAAGCAAGGTGCACGCCCTGACGGGTGCCCGGGGCTCACGGCTTTGAGATCTGCCTCACGTGACCGCTTGCTGAGGGAGGCAGCTGTACTTAATAGGATACTGTTCTCTCCGTGGGGACGCTGACGACAGGGCCTTCTGCGATTATTTAGACATTTATTGAGGTGTGCAGCCTGTGATGTTCGACCGGAGCAAGCTACTGTAGGTTGTTACGTCAAAGCCATGCAAGATGTGAGCGTCCCGCTGGTGTGGGACAAATGGACTTTGCATCCCGTATGGACACAACGTTGCTCAGACGTTTCCCATAAAAGACCACCACATCCAATAAAAATGGCAGCAGAGAAGAGCTGTCTTTTCCTCAGCTCAGTGTTGATGAGAAGAGGAAAGGCCAAGGAGCATGGGCTGGAAGCCTGCTTCCTGAGCCCTCGGCAATGGGTCAGCCCACGGCTATGGGCTGCCTTGTGCCCAAAGCTGGTGGGTCCCACCAGGCTCTACCACAGGCAGTTGTGGACCTTGGCCTCGGCACGTGGAATCGAATGGTCTCACGGGGCAGTGAATACTGAGTGAGAACATCCGTGACTTTGCCTTGGGGACTACGGTCAGGCGGTCCTCTTGAACCTAAAATAGCATCCACTAGATCGATCCTTCTTCATGTGGGCCACTGCTATGTGTCAGGTCTACACAGAATATAAGAAAAAAGCCTGAAATGGAAACTGTGATTTTGGAGGGACTTAAATCTTTCAATTGAGGATAGCTAAAATATCCTAAAATATTATAGATGATCTTTGCCAAAGGCATGCAAAATCTCATCGGAAGAGCTGGGGAAACTGGCGCTACTGTCTTTCAGAAAAACTCTCTGAAAGGCTCATCTGACTTGCCACCTGGAAATGGCCTGTTGGAGTCGTGGAGGCTTCCTGGCTCTGCAGGCGATGGCCCAGAAGGGACTGGAGCGGAAGAGGCAAACTAGTGTCGAGGTGCACGTCTGAGGAGTTCCCCACGGTGGGAGAGGGGGCAGCTGTGCGGCAGGAACCCCCTCCCTGCCCAGCCTTACCCGAACAGCAGGGACAGGGGCCCCGGCCTGGCCTCCCCCAGAGCATTGTTACGAGGATCAGGTGAGAGGCGCTGCTAGGAACGGCAGGTACCAGTCAGCATCAGCCACGCCCGTTTGGGCGCGGTGTCAGGGGCGGGCAGGTGGAACCCGCATGGGGGGTGCCCGCAGGAGGATGGCCCCAGCCTACTCCCTGCTGTGCACCCACGTGGGAATCAGAGAGAGCCGCGGCTCCGGACAGGGCAGCAAGAAGGGCGCTGGGGGGGCAGCGTCCTACCACGTCCTCACTTACTTCTCAGGCTTCAGGTCTCTGTAGATGATCCCCAGGCCGTGGAGGTGGTCTAAAGCCAGGGCCAGCTCAGCCAGGTAGAACTTGACATCCTCCTCGGTGAACATCACCTAGGAAGTGAGAACAAGATTGTTGGGCGTATTCTGTGGCTGGTTTGTTTTGAAGAACTGTGCCAGAGAACATCATGAGTCAGCCCTGCAAAGTGCGCTCGGCTCAGTTCTGCTCTGTGGAAGATCATGGGCTCCCCCCCTGCACCCCCCCTCCGCGGTAACGCTCTGCTGGCTCTCACAATGGAAAAATGAGCTCTCTTTCTAGTCTGGAGCTCAGTGAAGGCAGCAGAGCAGTTCCCTACAAAGACGGTTAATTAGCCCGCAAGTGGGCACTTGGTCTCCTACTCGTCTTCGCCTCCAGGAGTCATGTAGCTCTGGGCTTGTTATTTTAATATGAGCCGTTCGGATGTGAAGCAACACCCCCAAGGGCTGAGGAAGGGCTACTGAGAACATGTCCAGGATCTCATCCCCACTCCCTTCCATCTACCCAAAGTGGGCTGAGTTCTACCGAAACCAACATGTACGGGGCTTAGAGTCAGCAAGGCACCTGGGCCAGGGGAGGCTGGCTGAGGGACCGGGGGCGTCAGGGTGCACGAGTCGGGCATCTTGGTTCAGGCGAGCTGAAGCACTCGCCAGGCCAGGCGCCCAGCACCCTTCGAAGCCATCGTCTGGGGCACGTTTCCATACCTCCCATGCTCGTTAGAATCCGTGTGTGACATTTAAAGTCACCCTCTAGAAAGACAGATTTGTTATCACAAACCAGTTTTTACATTCACCATGAGAAATCAGTGTCACCGACACTGGAATTGTATGTGATGACTGAACTCTCTCTCTGAACACAGACATAGGAAGACTCAAATACAGACTCAGCAGGCTGCCTGGGATGCACAGAGTTAGAATAAGGGCCGTCTGGGGAGAGGATGGTGAGCACATCAGGCTGGCGCAGGTGGGGCCCATCCATTCCCCAGAAGGGGCACTTCCCGTCGGGGCCGTCGGGGCCGGGACTCACGCCCTGTGGTCCTGGGCGGTCACCTCTGGGAGCTGTCAACCCTCATGGCCCTTCTGGCCTTTGGAACCTCCTGTTCTATCTCCCGTGCTCAACAGGCGCCCTTCCTGGCTGGGCGTTTCTTTTCTAAATTGGTCAACATAGTCTGTGGGCTAACGTTTAGTCCGATTCCGCTAGCTGGCATATTCTCTTGAATCTGGCTTTTTCTCTCTGGATAACCACCATGGCTTGTCTGCAGGTCCGTGCTCAGAGTGCAACTGTATTTATCCACTTGTCCAGTTCTTAGGGCAAATCTCAGGATAGTCCCCAAGTCCAAGTGACAAAGAGTGTCTGTGCAGAAGCGAAACACCCCACGAGGTGCGTCCTTGAAGGAAGTCAGGACAGTGACCCACACACGGCAGAATGCTGTCCAACAGCCTTGCTGAAAGAGAGGACGGGAGGATACTGTCCCACGTTGTTTCTGAGAATCTGCTGTGCCCACACGTGGCAACTTGACCTTTATTCTGAAATAAAGGTGTCGGGGGGACACGCCTTCCCCTTGAGAGGTCATACAGGGCTTTTTGCTAACTACCGCTGCCGTTTGGTCAAGAAGCCCGTGACAGGGTGTGTCGTGCCAGACGCCGGACAAAACCAAACCCCGCGTGACCTGGGAGGGTAAGGGAAATCAGTACTTAGCAGGCGGGAGACTGGCAGATGCCAGTAGTTCTGCCCTCTGAGAACATGTGAGCACAAGCAGGGACCAGACAGACACCTGCTCCAGAATGGCTGGTCCTGGAAGTGGGATCTGAGTCCTCCAGCCCCGGGCTTTCAGTCTGTATGAAAGGCGCCCACTGTATCAGCTGTGCGTTGTCTGAGGGACCCTTAAAAACCGGAGGGAGAGAGCAGCCCGCAGGCCCTGGGACCTCCCTCCTGCTCCACTTCGATCTGTTGCTCACTTTGGAGGTACAGGCAGGATTGAAGGGTCTCCTGGCCAAAAAGTGGGAGGGAGAGAGAAGGGCGGAGGGCCGTCTGAACACACCATCCCAGTTAAATCACCCCGGAGGGACTGGAGACCTGGGCGAGGTGCCGTCCGACGCGCGGCTGCCTTCATCACCGTCGGCTCCGTGTGAAGGAACTGCTCAGAGCCGCTGGGATTTAAGGCCAGTGCTGTTGTCGCCTCAGGCAGAAAGAAGGCTGGTTTTGTCCACGCCATGAAGCAGAGAGCTCTTCACATCAATTAGGGGCCAGAGAGCTGTCGTGTGGCCCTGGGTGACATTCTGGAAAATTCCCACGTCAGGACTATGGGGTCAAGGACAAGCCCTGGGCTTGAAGCGGTCACGGAGACCTCCCCTCCCGTGGGATGACCCGACTAGATGCTCCGGAAGCACCTCCCTGGATGTGTGGGCAGCATGCTCACAGCACCTTCCCACGACGGAAGGTGAGATACTGGGAAACAGTCCCCCAGCTGCTACTCTAAACCCACCTCTGCTTTCGTCTGCGCCCCACAGGGGTCGGCGCGCTTCCCGGCGCCCAGAAGCACCTGTTTGTTTACGATCTTTCAAGTTCAACAGATCGCTTCTCCGTATCACTTGTGTGACTTCTTTAAAACAGATGCACACATTCATGCACAAACACACACATATTCACGTGCACACACATCCCACGCGCACCATGTAAGCCCCACAGCGCACACACTCACAGCATGCACACCACACACACACACTCACATACTCAGCACACACACTGACACTCGCACACACTCTCATACATACCGACAGCCCACCATTTGCACACGCTCACAGCACACATATCACACACACGCACGCTCTCACACATACTGACAGCATTCACACCATCTGTACACAACCGTAGCACACACACCACACACAGACCTCCCTCGAGAGCTCGCCAGCCCTCTTTGCCCCACGTACCTCTTTGGAGAGCCTGCTGAAGAGGTCCCCTCCCCGCAGGAAGTCCAGGATCAGGTAGAGCTTTCCTTCCGTCTGAAAGGCTGTGGAAGGAGGGAGGGTTGGCATGCCGGGGGTCCCAGAACACGAGCAGGCTGCAGTGCCGTACATTCCAGAAGCAGGACTGGAGCGGGGGCGGGGGGGCCTTGCTGGGGCAGAACTCCAGGAAAGGGTTGGCAGGAATGAGTCTGTCTGTGTCTCCCACTTTTACTAAGAGTCTAGAGGGTCACCTCTCTTCTTTCTTCTCCTCTTCTTTGGTCCCCCCTTCCTTTTTTAATCACAGAGGGGATGGAAAATACATGGAGGCCCATATCTGCAGGTTCCGACCTGCTCTCACTATCACCACTACTCATGCTGGGTTCTGGGCACCACAGTGAGGTGTTTGGTGAGGAGCCGGATGATGGCTCTGACCCGGTGTGGGCAAGCCTCCTTTCCCTCATGGAGCTGCATTCTATACAGCTCCAGGTCAAGGCAATCCATCATTTGACCGCTTCCTTCATGGAGGTGTTGGTGACCGGACCCACGCATCGTACATCATGGCAAATGGGGCCCGTGTTCTAGGTTTGATCACCGTGAACTATGATTATGGGCCTGCTGTTTATACTTCCGGTCTTGCCCACCGTTTAGCCAGGTGTGCCTTGCTCCAAAGGGGGCTGAGCGTGCATGTGAGGGTCAAGAGAAACCAATCACCCTTGACTCTTGATTCTCAGTTCGATGTGACTGATGATCTATCACTTGGCATCTATCTGACATACCTAGGAAGTGTGGCTGCAGGGGGTCCTGATATCCCTGCTTACTTGAAAACTTTTTATTTTCTAAAAGAAAATACTAGAAACATGATACATGTTAGGGTTTCAGAAACAGATAGGCTCTCACTAAAAAATCCTTGTCAGAATCATATAAAGTGAAGTATGGATTCAATCCTCTCTCCTAGGGCTTGACTGGCAGAAGGAGAACAAGTATCTTTTGATCAGCCACAGAGCTGACATGGAAGACACATTTAGAAATCCTTGAAAGATGCTGGTTCTTCTTCAGAGAACTCCCTGGAAACCAGCTGAAGTGACACATGGGACTGGATGTGACAGCAGCGACTGTGGTGGCACAGGCAGCCGTGAGATGGGGAGGGTCGGGTCAGCCTCCCTGGGTGGCTTGCAGGACAGAGCTCGGGCACCTGCCTGCAGCCACCGAGCCTTCCAGCAAATTCACAGCCACCGTCACTCCTACTGGCTTTGAAAGCATAAGCCACACACTTTCTACACGAGACTGAAATGTTTTCTGAGAAATATCAGAAGGTAACCAGCAAAGAGTGAGAAGCCTCTGCCCTCCGACCTCTGAGCACGGCTTACACCTTTGCTTCAACCCGATTCGTGGAAATGTCTCGGACAACCCCCACACCCGGCGCCTTTGAAACCAACAAGATAGGGTTTTTTTTTTTTCCCCCTGTATTTCCTTCATATTAATTATTTGGCAGGGCAGTGGCGTTAATGCCGTCTGGCGCCTCTCATTCATTATTTTTAGTTTGAAGATTTCACTTACTGCTTCCCCGAGGAGGGGAACTATAGAAAGTGAACTCAGAGGAGTTTGTGGGCGCTGCACACATGTGGCCACAAGAATCACTATTATTTGATTGTGTCTCATTTCTCTTCCAGGAAACAGAAACAGTAACCTCCCTTGAAAGAAAGTTTTGAGGGCTCAATGAGCTACTCTCTTTAAAATGCTTGAAACATAGTATTCACTTAAAATAGAGAAGGTGATGCCATTCTGGTTAAAGAAATTACTGGGTCATAAAGCATTTTCTTCTAAAACAACACAAAAATATGTCACAGATTCACCCCAATCTAGGCCAAGAGACCTTTTATTTATTTTTTTTACTACTTTATCAATGATGATAATTTAATTAGTAACAAAGTATAGCCCCTCACTTTAGTCTCTGGTTAAGACAGGACACCTTGCTCCCTCAGAGTGGAAAAATGCAGAAGAGATCATGGGGCTGCAGAGCGAAGACAGCCCCACACCCTACAGGCCAGGCCCCATGACAGGGAGGGCTCTTCTCCTGACCTAGTGTTGTTTCATTTTCCTTGGATTTGGGGAAGGTTGCTTAGGTCCTCTCAAAAGTAGATTATGTTTTACTCTATTTACCATAATGAAGCTTTACAATGAAAGGGTGATTCACTTCTGCCAAAATGTCTCTCTCCATCTTCGACCTGACTCGGTCCCGGACTGCAAAACAGAAAAACAAAAGGCTTTCAGGAGGCAGAAATGGGGTTCTAGAGAACAGGGAACATAAAACATTAGCTACAAATAACCTCCCCCAATGTTTTGTTACAGTAATTTTCGAGCAGACACAAAAGTTGAAACAGTAGGATAATGATCACCCTTAAATCGTCCACCTAGAGTCAACAGCTGCGGGCTTTCTGATGCACGCGCCTTCCTTCTGGGTCTTTCTCGGTCTCTGTGTGTCTCTCTCTTCACACAGACATGCACTGTAGCCAAAACTCTGACACAAAATCATGGACACCGTGACACTTGACCCCTAGCTGTGTTTGCAAGCAGCATGTCCTAGGAGTAAGGACAGTCTCTTACAGAAGCCCTGAGACATCCGTCACCTCTAGGAAATTAACAATCATTCCACATTGTCATCTAATACCCAATCCATGTTTCAACACCCCCCACCATGTCATTTACAGCTGTTAGTTTTCCCAGTGTGGGAGCCAGTCAAGGTTCACACATTACATTTGGTTGTTATATTTCTTTATTCTAGAATAGAATGGCCCCACAGTTTGGGTTGTTGTTTTGTTTTGTTTTGTTTTGTTTTTCATATTTTGTGGACTTTTTGGTCAGGCCAGGCCGGTTTCTCGTAGATTGTTCCGTATTCTGGGTTTGTCTGATTGTTGCTTAACTGGTGGCTCTAAGTTCTTTATTTCTCTCAAACTGAGGCTAGGTCTGGAGGCTTTATAAGATTGAGGCTAAACATTCTCAGCAAATGGTGGAGCTGTGTACCTCTGATTGCAGCAGGTGGGCTGTACATGCTGCGGGACCCTCTCTAGGTGATGCTAAATTTGATGATGTGAGTAGAGTGATAAGTCATCAGTCTCTTACTGTAAGGACCTGCATGTCCCTTTGTAAGTACTAAGTAACCTGCAGGGTGGTATTTGATAGAGAAGGTGATGCCGTGCTGGTTAAAGAAATTACTGGGTCATAAAGCATTTTCTTCTAAAACAAGTGAGCCATGGGCCCCTAACACTCCTTCATCCATGAGTGTTAGCATATGCATATGAATGATCCTTGCTTGAGTCATTTTAGGGCTGCAAAATGGGGATCTTCTCATTTCTGACGAACTGGAAATCAAGAGGAAGATTGCTTCTTTCTGTCCCTGAGGATAAGTAGGCATTAGGGATTTTTTAAAAAAATTAGTGTGTTTTAACCAATTACATCACTATTCTTTTTGATGCTGACATTGTCCAAAATGTAGCCATCTGGGAATACAGATGGAATTAGTTTTAAGGCAAAAATAAACAAGCCAAATAGGATCACTGCTTGAGAATAAGAATAACCCCAAGATTCCCATAAGCAAATTGATTCACCAAGGGCAATGACTTCGTACCACCCCGCGTGAGCAGAGGGAGAAAATCTTCGATATTCCTACCAGGGACCAGTATAAGTATTGTGTTACCGGACCAGGCATTTAATCCATCCATACTTTGGCTTTGTGATATGTACTTTTAAAGTTTTATTCGAGAAATGCTTCCCAAAGAATGACTGTAATAAAAAAAAGGGGGGGGGAATGACAAGCATGGGGGAGGGTGGAGCAAGAAGTCGGAACACTTGTGCAGAAGCTGGTCGAACGTAGGATGGAGTGGTCTCTGGAAAAGTGCCTGCTCCTCAAACAGTTAAACACAGAACTGCGATGTGACCCAGCAATTCCACTCCTGGGTTTACATCCCAAAGAACTGAAGACAGGGACTCACACAGGCCCCTGCACACCCATGCTCACAGCTGCATTACTCACAACAGCCACAGGTGGGAAGAACCCGAGCGTCTGTCAACGATGAACAGAGAAACACAATGTGCTCTATCTGGACAGTGTGTGTTATTTCTCCTTAAAAAGTAATAGAACCCTGACGCATGCCACAGCATGGAGGAGCCCTGAACGCATTATACGGAGTGAAGCAAGCCAGGCACAAAAGAACAAATACTGTATGACTCTATTTACGAGAGGTCCCTCCAGCCATCAGACTGCTGGAGACACAGGGGGACGGGAGGGAGCCGGGGCTGGCGGAGGGGCAGCGGATAGAGCTTCTGTTTGCAGGGCTGGCAAAGTTTAGGGTCTAGACAGTGGTGACGGTGATGCAGTACCGGGGACGGATGTAATGCCGCTTACAAATGGTGAAAATGGTCCACACTATGTTACGTGCATTCTCTCACACTTAGAGAAAAAAGAAGTCCTTCCTCACTGCTGGTCGCAGGATAGCCTCCTACCGTCTGCTCTGTTAATGCTAGCTTCACTTTTGCTTCGAGTACTCACGTTCTCTGGAGCCCCCCTTTGCTCCGGGGCCGGGGCCGTGCACGCTCCTCTACCTGCTGGGGCAGGGTAGCCCGCCGGCGAGCCGCGGCCCCGAGCACACATGCTGGCTCTGTTGCTTAGTGGGCGGGCTGCTCTCTGCTCACACTCCTCACGTGTAACCCGGGGATGGTAACGGGACCTGCCTCATGGGGTCGTCATGAGGACGTCACGAGGAGGCAGCGTGTGAATCCCCCACAGCACACCCCGTGCTCATGCTCATCTGTGGGGTGGGCTTTCTCTGATCTTCCTCTTCCGTCCACCGCTGGTCCGTTCCTGTACCAACGCCAGACCCTGGTGGCCACAGTGGCCTCGGTGTCCCTTAGCATCTAGAAGCCGCGAGTCAGCAGAGAAGGCTGTGGGCAGAGCTGCGGGTCACCCCGTGGCACCTGCACGGCCCGGCCTTCTCTGCGCCCCTGCAGCCCCCGACTCCCAGCACCAAAGCACAGGGCAGGGGTGGGGGGTCTGGCTCATCACCATCCACGCCCCAGGTGGCACACAGTGGGTCCTCTTCTGGCTGGACCAGTGGAGTCAGACCTCATGCTCACAGGGCCGTGGGGAGCACGTCCTCCAGCCCTGCATTCACGGAGAGCAGACGAGGCTCGCTGCAGAGAGAAGTGGTGCTCCAGGCCAGGCCGGTTGGCGGTGCGGCCCGCCGGGGTGCAGCGCACTGCCCCTGCTGGAAACAGACACCAGCCTCGAGGAGAACACAGACCCTCGGGACACAAAGGAGACACAAAGCGCCTCGGCTGGAAATGAGCTGTGAGCGAGAGCTGCGAGCGGGGACCGTCGCCCCAGAAACTGAGCGGAGCATGGCGCTCACAGTGAAGTCGGTCGCTGGGCGTTTTAGTTAATGCAGCCTTGCATCGCTGAGCCGTGAGCCCCGAGTTCAGATCCTGTTCTCCTCTGTGGGTGTGGTCATTGCGTGCCAGCCTTTTAGGAGCTTGTGGTGCAGACGTTAGTCTTGCCTTCCTGTTTCTCATTTGTGAGTCACCGTCGGGTGAGCTAGGCTTTGCTCAGTGTCCTCTCTCTCTTCCACGTAAACAGAAGGAGGGCCGCAGGACGCAGAGGTGCAGGTGCCGAAGGCAGAGCCCGGGCTCCTCGTGAGGCCAGAAGACGCTGACCCTGGGGCAGGGTTGTCCCCCTGCTCCTCAGAAACGGGACCTCTGGACGGTGAAGGCACAGCTCTCCCGGCCTGGCCTGAAGTTTCTTTCTCCTCCTGCCCACTCCCTGTCCACTGTGTGCCGCTCTCCTCCGTGCGGCACGACCAGGCAAAACTGCCGACTGCCGCCAGCGAGTAAGAGTCAGGGAGCCATGTGCGGAGACGGCAGTGAGGGGCGCCCCGGAGGCCTCTCCGTATGTGCGGGAGCCGAGACGGGGTCTGGGGAGGCAGGAGGGACGCCGCGGGGAGGGCAGAGCCATCAGCTGTGGACATATCCCATGAGTGACTGTCCCTCCTAATGCAGTTAGAAGGCTTTCTAAGCCACCTGCCGTGTGGACCCACACGTGTCACCACGCCCCAGGCCTGGGCTGCCTCCTCATGGCGAGGAGCTCATTGCTGCATCCGGCCAGCCTCCTGGGGTGTCTTTACCTCAGCGGAGCGGGCCACGCTGACAGGGCCATGGGACGGCAGTCTTCTGTCCCCTGAGGTGCGTGCTCCCCAAGTCTCTGCTCCACCCACCGTCCCGACAAGATCCGGGGAAGCAGAGTAGCTAAGGGGCCACCGCGTTCCTACACCCGCCTAGCATCTCCTCGCAAGGCTTAGTCCTCAACGCTGGTTCAGAGCATCTAAAAATCCTCTAAATAGGATTGATCTTATCATTGTCTTAGATCTGTTTGGCATGAGGAAAACTGTTTAGTCATATATCCGATTTCTGTGTTGGTAATGGAAACAGAGGCCTTAAGAAGCCTGGTGAAAAAATTAGAAAAAGATCTTACATTTAAATTTCCAAGGAACTGTTAAGTTATAGCAGAAAACAAATTTCCTCCCTACATTTTACACAAAAATAATCCCAGATCTATTAAAGAGTTAAGTGTTAAAAAAAAAAAAATCAATCCATGAAAATGATAACAAAGAGGAATGGCCATCTGACGTCCGGGTGGGGATCTGTCCCATAAAAACAACGGAGAAATTACACAGGGAGGAGGGAGAGATTGACTTACAAATGTCCACAGACCGGCCATCCGAGAGACTGTAACGTTAAAAGGCCAGCAAAGCACATAGAGGTTGCGTGGGGCAAACGGGAAGAGGGCCAGGAGCCCCGGTCAATGCAGGAGCCCTGAGTGATCATGGAGACAGAGCTAACAGCTGGGGAGACACGTCCACACTCACACGCGGTGACAGCAACTCCGCAGGTGTGCACGGCTCCTCCCCAGGTGCCGGGAAACAGGCTGTGTTCACACGGGGCACAGTTTTGTCAGCGTTGACACGGCGTCCCCGACTGTCCGTGTCCGGGGACCCGCAGGGCAGTGGTTCCATAGAGCGGTGCCCCGCGAGACCACGTGCGGGGGCCCATGGCTCCCAGGTCTGCGGATTCTGTCCAGCCGAGCAGAGCCCACGCTCCGCCCTCCCTGACGCCTCTCCTGACCCCGCTGCTCGCTCTCGGGCCAGAGCCCGGGATGGCGGGAAAGGCCTGGACTGGTGGCTCGGCCACGTGACACAGCCACGGAGCGTCCTGGCACGAAGAAAGACCCGGGCCTGGACAGCAAATTCGTCGCTGCCTGGTGCTGTCTCCAGGCTGCCTCTGGGACAGCTCAGGGCGCCGAGGGATTTTTGATTCCTAAGACCTAGACGCATACAAAAGAAAGCCCAGAGAGATGCTTCCTCCATCCGTGCATTGCTACGGTGTCAGTGAGTCACAGAACCTGGGAGAGACGTCGCGAGCTGAGACAAGAGACCATCATGTCAGCCGGAGCGAAACGCCAGCAGCCGTCTGGCTGGGTGGTTCTAGGCTGGCGCAGAACCTGGGGTCAGGCCACATTATCTCCCTGGGACTTTTATTCCTGGTATTTGACAGGTGAGTCTGGAATTGAGTGGGGCTTGCTACTACGGATGTAAAAGAAAAATGTTCTAAGCTATTTTGGGATTCATTAATAAACCATATGTATTGGGGATAAATGAAGATTTTTTGTATTTCAAACCAACCCTATACTTGTGGCTGCCCTGCAACATGGAAGATTAGGGGGACGTGGTTTTCACGACTGGCTTTGGTCTGTAGGGCCATCGGCATCCCCTGGGGCCAGCTGTGACCTTCATGCGTCCTTCAGCCATCATGTCCTGTGGCAGCCCCAAGCACTAAGATGAATGTGCAGATGCCCAAAAATTCACCCTACAGTGAAGGGCACGGTTTCCTTCCCAGGAAAACCGGGGAGGAGGTGCGTTGTGCAATTACCAACATCTTCATGACTTCCAAGCAACACACTCCTTCAGACAACTTTAGATGTACCTACATCTTTGTGCTCATGAAAAATTTAAAGTTTAAGACATCCCAACCTGTTAAGTTGTTTCCTCAACCACTTGGCCTGTTCTGGAGTTTTAGGAGTTAAAAAGGTGGTGAATGCCCCTTTCCGTAGTAACAGAATACCTCAATACCCATAGTCCTTTGAGATGTCCTGTCAAGTGAGAAACCAAAATGCAAGGCCTGTTTTTGCCGGCCAGCCTAATGGCTTGGCACCTTGGAGCGGAGAGGTGTTGAACCGCCATCCCCACCCTACTACACGTTCCCGGACTCCCCGAGAAATGGCCAGTCCAGTCTGAGAGAGCTAGTCGGAAATGCACACACAGGTGGGAGGTGAGCTCAGGCTCGGCTCAGCACCGTGACCACTCCTCACCGCTTCCTTCCCTTGCCCACAAAAACTCACTGGGTCTGAAATTATACCCCAAGCAGTCTCCTGGATGCAGACTAAAATCTGTCCTCACACCATACATTTTAATCTTCAAAGGTCAGATTCATAGCAAGAAGTGGCCTCCCGTGAGACGTGGTGTTGCTTGTGTTTGCCGACCAAAACTCTGTACCATTCTTTAGTCCAGAGAAAAAAGAAAGGAAGAAAACTATAAATAATAAAAATAAAAAATGGTAACCATGTTGGTTACCATACAAGGCCTCACTCCCCAAGATTTGTCTTTTTCTCTGTACCAGGTTATTTATTTATTTATTTATTTATTTATTTTTAAAGATATTTATTTATTTGAGAGAGAGAATGAGAGAGAGAGAGAGAGCACATGAGAGGGGGGAGGGTCAGAGGGAGAAGCAGACTCCCCGCCGAGCAGGGAGCCCGATGCGGGACTCGATCCCGGGACTCCAGGATCACGACCTGAGCCGAAGGCAGTCGCTTAACCGACTGAGCCACCCAGGCGCCCCTCTGTACCAGGTTATTTAAAGAGAGGGGGTTACTTAAGTCACCTCTTGACTAAAGAATCTTTTTGTGGGTGAATCCTCAGCCCGTTTCTCTCCTGCATTTACACGGCACAGGCATTACGATGACAAGGAGGGACAGTCATCTATTTCCTACTTTCTAACCTATCTACACGCCAAGAAACACAGTTCTGGTGGAAACAAACAGATAAAGGACCCCAAAATACACAGGCGCTGTAGGATAACGTGCCTGTTCCCTACGGATGATGTTTATCTAAGGTACAGGGTGCCTCCAGGAGGCCCAAGACAGACAAGCAAGGGAGGTGTAAGGGAGAGTCATTGTCATTTTACGTTTTGTCCCAGACCATGTGCTGGGAAATAACCCCTGAACCCTGAAAGCCCGAAGGACAATTGGCCGGCCGTGGCTTCCTGATATGGAAATGACAGCCTGGTTATGTGGGGGTCGGGCTGAGTCCCCGACACCTGTTATCACGGGAGCAGCACCGGATTCCACAGCTGCGAACCATGGGATGACGGTGAGGGCGTCACTCCTCTGTGCTTCAGTGTCCTCGCTTCTCCAGTGAGACCCATGACACCAGGAGGGGCACTTAGAACGTGTGCTTGCAGCTTGGCTTTACTTCCCTCCCCACCTTCCTAACCCCCCACCCCCAGAATTGGCAATTCTCCAAATGTGAACCAAATGACATTCATGAATTTGCCTGGAAATAAAATTTGTTCAAACTAATTGAAACTGTTTCTGATCAAGTCATTGTCTTAGAATGAATCGTATTGGTGTAAGAGAAAAGGAATCAAGATAACGGTGCGGGAAATAGCGTTCTGAGGTCGGAGGCCACCTGTCCTGAGTCAGACGGGGGACGAGCTCACACGCCGTAATCAGGATGAATGTAACCGTGTGTGTCCGCCGCGGCCACCACACGCCCAGCGCTCCTAGCCCACCCGCTGACAGTCCCAGGGGTGTCATCAGAGTTCTGTGCCATAAAGAAAGGGCGGACGACGAGCAGAACAGCCCCGGTCGGCGATCCGACGAGCCTGGACGGCAGCCAGGTCCCCACGGCCTCCGTCCTCGTGGCTGGCGGCCCTCCCACCCCTGCCGACAAACACATTTGCCATAACCATAACTGGCCAGGAGTCACGGGACTTGGTCAACAAAGAGATTTTGCCAGAAGAATGTATTTTTCCCTTTCGAATCAGTAGCACAGGGCAGAGTAACACTCATTTCCTTCAAAGCAGGGAATGCACACCGTTGGGCTTAGAAAGTTGCCTTACAGGGAAGATGGCTGAAAAACGAGTTCTGCATGAAAAGACAGGTGAAGTCCTATCAGCAAATTGCCATTGCAAAGAAGAACGCTTTCATGCGGGAAGCCCTTCCATGCCGTGGAGGATGGCCCGGGGAAAGGAGAGAATGCTCACCAGGAGCTCTGCCGTGGGCCGTGCGTCTGGGCCCCTGTGCAGCTTCCGGGCCTTCGGGGCAATTAGCGAACATGGTGGTCGCCACAGACCCTGGGGCCGGAGGAAGACGGAATTCTTTCTAACCAGACGGCAATGAATGGCCAACCTCCCTCCTCACTCCCGCGTGCAATCAGACCTACCCAAATCTAGACAGGAAAAGCCCTAACACGTCTCCGGGTTGCATGGAGAAAAGGAGCAGAGCTGAGGACAGCCGACCGGGGCCTTCGCTGTGCCTGCAGCACCTGACGCACACCGTGAATGTACTTCTCACGTCGGCAATGCCACGAGGCAGGTACTCTTCACGGGCATCACCCCGTTCTACGTAGGAGGGAGAGGCTCCCCACTGCGACACAGCCTGCAAAGGTGAAGCAGGACGTGCCCCAGGGCCCAGGTGTGTGCTCCTGACCACCGTATCGGGGTCCTCTCCCTTCTTGTGTTGAGACCCACCCAGACCAACTGACCCAGAACCTCGGGGGTGGCCTCCGGCAGCGGAAGCCCATGGAAGTCTCGCAGGCGATTCCAGCTGGGGCGACGCTTGGGAGCCACTGTTACTAACATGGGTGGCGGTCCCTACTTGCTGACTCACGAACCAGGGGATGGAGGCCAGGCTGTCTTCATTCCTGGTCTCATGCTTGGGTCCATGTTTACAGTCATTTGAGCCCCATTCCCTTACAACACGAACAGGGCATCAGCCTCCGGACTCGTGATGTTTGGAGTGCTTTATATGGAATTATTACTGGAACAACTCAGTGTTGAGGAATGAATACAGAGTTAGGAAAGAAGGGAAACATTTGCAAAGGGTCCGTAAGCCGGGAGGAAGCAAGCAGCCCTGCCCTGCAAGGCCAGAGGAGGTGCTGGAAGACAAGGCGGGGGCTGGCGGGGGCGGCCAGCTCGTCACACCCTCAGCAGCTGAGTAGTGGACATTTCCCTTATGAGTGATGTGCCGCCTCCTTAAAGGAAGGGGCAGGTGCCTGACAGCTCCAAAGGTATGTAAAGACAAAATAGAGCTGTCGGAAACCAGTATCCTCCTGTCGAGGTATTTGGAATGTCACTGACAACAATTCTCTCTTCTGCACACAAGGCAGTCACCCATGTTTTTGAGAAACAATCTGGAGTTTTATGACAATTTCCGCAAGCCCTTCGCCCCCTTTTCATGTTCACCTTCTCAGTGTGATTTCACTATTCAAATTCCTCAGATTCTCGCTCTCGGGGGGGGCTGTCTGTACTTGTGGGTGTCGCTGGTGAGTGGGGAGCGCCACCCCCACGGTCACCGTGCATTCCTTGTCCCTCTCGAACACGCTGCGGGGAACCATCCTTTCCTTGGGGTTGCGCTACTGTCCACTGAGCGGTCAGCGAGGGCAGTACTGCTAACGCCTGACCAACATGCTCGAGCACGCTGCGGGGTGGCTAAGCAGCTTGCAAACCGGGGCCCACGTGAAGGTGGGGAGGATCTGAAGCACTCGGGCTCGTGGAGTGCAGAGGTGGTGGAGCTCAAGCGGATTTCAGTAAGCCTCTGAGCCAAGCCCCTTCTCTCACGAGTGAGGAAGGAGGCAGGCTCAGAGAGCCTCAGTGCCCTCTCCCTGTGCTGCACACCGACCCCTGGCCTCCTTCCTGCACATACTTGGCTCTCCAGTGACTCAAAGCACTGTTTTGTAAATCTTTTTACCTTCTTTCTAAAATTTTTAAATTTGAACTCAATTAATTAACATAAAATGCATTATTAGTTTCAGAGGTAGAGTTGAGTGACTCATCAGTTGCGTATAACACCCAGTGCTCATCACATCACGTGCCCTCCTTCATGCCCATCCCCCAATTACCCCCCCCACCCCCCTCCCTTCCAGCGACCCTCAGTGTGTTTCCTACGATGAAGAGTCTCTCATGGTTTGTCTCCCTCTCTGATTTCATCTTGTTTTATTTTTTCCTCTCTTCCCCTATGGTCCTCTGTTTTGTTTCTTAAATTCCACATATCGGTAAGATTTTATGATACTTGTCTTTCTCTGACTGACTTATTTCCCTCAGCATAATACCCTCTAGTTCCATCCATGTCATTGCAAATGGCAAGATTTCATTTTTTTGATGGCTGCCTAATATTCCATCGTGTATACATATACCACCTTTTTATTTTCTCTTAAGAAAATAAATGTCAACTGCATTTCTGGAAAAAATCTGTTCTTTCGTGGTGGACTATTATGGAAAGTCGAAACAGCAAAGGATGTCAAATCACGTTTTGTTTGAAAGACAGCTTTTAAAGAAGCACAAGGACATGGGAAATCTTCCTATTCTTTTACACTTACATGGCTCATTCTCCCATGTAAAAACAATTTTACATCATCAGGCACATGCTCCAGAGTATTTTACAAATAACTTTACATTATAAAAACTCTCAAACATGTTTTATTTTTGTTGAGAACTTAAAATATAGAGTATAGGGAGGAAAATAAAAGTTATCGGTAATCTTGAAACTGTTTTCATTTTGGCCCACTTCCTACCAGCATGACGAGTATCTCCTACCTGCCCATATACGCACGGACCTGTACTGATGGAGACCGACTCGTGCACTTAACAATATGATGATCACTCTGCAGACACAGCTTTCTGTCCTGTCTGACCCATGTAACACTGTGTCCAGGGCACTTTCTCAAGGACACTGGGTTGGATTACAAACAAATGTGGAGACGTGCATCCATGCAGGGTGGATCACTGAGCTGGAGGGCTTGGCACGAGCTGACAGGTCAAGGTTAATGCTGACGGAGTGCAGGCTGAGCAGCGGGTTAACAGCAGAGTCTAGCTCCTTCACTTGACTTTGCACTCCAGAGCAGGTGCGCAGCTGTGGATTCCCTTCCAGCGGTTCCCCTGTCACTCCGACTTTTCCTCCCTCTCCTCCCAGGGCAGGGGACAGTGAGGTCGTATTTGAGGGGAAGAAGGGACAGTTGTGATTCAAGGGAAAAGGAACCATTTAAGGCCCCGCCCTTGAACAATCTCCTTTGGAAGAACACTTGCTCTCCTTAGAACACCTAGGATGTGTAAGTCTATATTTATTTGGTTTATGTTTTTCTTGGCCGAAATTGTTGGTCCTCTTATTTGCCAGCCAATAGTAAGTGACGTGTGCACAGAGAATGTTATATTCCTTGTATCGCCCCCTGAATGCACTTGCTGAGGACACCGTCTTAAGACCTAAAAACTCATATGCTGCCTCGACATCTTTGAGCCTCACAGGGCCCCCCTGCCCTTGACAGATAGCTCCCCACCTTGCAGTTCCCGGATAAGCTGGAGCAGCTACACCACCGTCTGGTCCTCACCAGGCTTCAGCTCCCTACCAGCTGAGAGAATGATTCAAACAGGCCCCGCACGTCCTCCGCGGGCAGGAGGCCACCTTGCCTTCTTGTTACTACGAAGCCTGCCTCCTCCAGCCTGTCCTTGGTGGCTCTGCTCCTCCCCAGGCTGATGAGCGTATATGACCAATAAACTCTGCCGCACCTGCCCGGGGCCCGGTGTGTGTGCCGGGACATCTTACACTGTTTCGGGGATGGGCCCCTCCCTCACCAACGGGGTGAGCGGGCGGGGATCGGAGCGTAGCCGGTGCTCAGCTCTCCCGTGCTGTTGGCTATGAGACTGTAAGCCAGGAATGGGGATCTTCGATGCAGTTTTATTTTGACACGTTTTTTTGAAACTGAGCAATCCGGTCTCACTGAGGATTCAGGCTGAGTTGTGGTCCACAGGCAGCCATATGACCTGCTTCTGCTTTCCTCCCCAATGTGCTTTTTTCCCAATGGTACGCCACAGCCGGACATATGTGGGAGAATGGTATTTACCCAATATGGCTTTCTCTCTGAAAATTGTGGAAATTTTGCAGGGATATGTTAAACATCCAGGGAAATGTTTATACTGTTTATTGCCAGTCAGAGAGTAACGTGTCTGATATACTCTTTTAGAGACAGCTTCAGAAATCACGCGATACGAAATAGAATATGTATTTACGCAAACAGCCAGCGAACCACAGCTGCACATCCCAAACACAGCCAGCACCCTCGTGAAATGCTCACCTTTCAAGGTAGCTTTCTTAAGAACTTTCATTGCGTATAGCTGCCCAGCATCAGATCCCTTGGTCTTCCTCACCAGGAACACCTGATAAAGAGAGCACGCAACATCTGAGATTGGGAAGACTTGGAACTCATTGTCCTTATTTGATTTGACAAGGTGACATACAAGGGAGTTTAGGGGAAAAAAATCCAATAAAATAAATACGTAAAATTTCCTCCAACATCTAGGCTGCCAGGACAAATGTCATCTAACTGACTGCAACTCTGTGATGAACAGCATCACGTGAGTGTGAAGAATCATTTGTTTTTGGCACAACTAACTTTCTCCTAAACGTTTTCTAGCAGAGGTATTACCACCCTTCCGGAAGAAAAAAAAAAAAAAAAAAGACCAGTTGTTTAGAAAAACAAATAATACTCTGAAATTTTAAGGGAGATCATTTGGTTTATTCTAAATATCCCTTTGTAAGTCCTCGCTGGGAGGGCCACCATGATAGTTCCTGCCAATCACATGGAATAGACTCTGATTCTCAAGATAAACTGGGTTGTCTTATTTTGAGCTTTCCTCACCCAAATTTTAGCCTTTGAGCAGAGTTAAATTTATATAGTTTCTTTTTCTTTTTTTTTTTTTAAAGAGTTAGTTTCTAAATGGCTCTTAGAGACACTTGTGTGGATCTTTAATGACATTTTTAAAAAACATTTTGAGGTACAATATCAAGGAAAACCAAAAAGAAAATTGTTTGAGAAGCTGAGTGAGCTTAGGGTCACAGTCACGACTATTGAACAGAATGAGTAAATAAACACACACACACACACACACACACACACACACACACACACACACACCCCTGGGGCATTGACAGTAGACGCAAAGATCCACCGGCAGGATAGAGACCGCCACGCGGATGACACTTGCTATCCAGGGCAGGGGCCACCACTAGGGTGACGGGGACCCACCCCCTCCCCAAAATGCCTGCCTCATGGACCCTCAAAGCCAGAAAGACCTGCCACTGCACATGCCTCCAGGGCTACAGCATCTTCCATGGGGGACAGAGACCAGTGTGTGGGGCCGGCGGGTGGGGCTGCAGGGTCACCCGTGGGGGACAGAGACCGACAGCCTCCCCCTTGGGGAGGAGAGCGAAGGGAAGAAGATGTCTGAGGGCAGGTCTCCAGAGCAGAGGGTCTGCCGTCCCCGCAGGACATGGCTCGGTCTATTCTAGTGACCTGGAAGACACCACGTCCCAGCAGAGGAACGCGGGTTCACGGGGCCGGTCCTTGGATCGCCGTGTGCCCTGGAGCCCAGGCAGCTGCCTCCTGACCCTGAGCGGGTCCCGGCCCTGGGACAGCTCTTTCCCGACTGCAGCCGGCTCTCAGGTCCCAGCTCAGGGTCATTGCCGACGACCCCCTGCCTCCCCTGGCACACGCAAAGCTGAGGGCAAGAGGGCCAGGCCGGCCCCCCTGGATGCTGCCTCCAGGAATGAGGGGCCCAGGCAATCACAAACAAGTAGAGGTAGGCTCACCCTTTGCTATTGGATTCGGACTATTCTGTCACTGAGCATTAATATTTATCTTTGGGGCACATTTGACATGTCTCTGTGTTGGCTGGATGCAGCAGGCTGTGGTGCAGACCCCCAGGGAGAGAGTCTGGGGTCTCTCCCTTAGCGGGCACGGCTGCACAGGACGAGACACAGGCCTGTGCGATGAGGGCTCTGCTGGGGGAACGTCCGTCTGGGGACGAGCCTCCCGATGGGCAGGCGGAGCTGCCCCCAGTTGTCAGAAGGGGCGGGGGTGCAGAGAAAAACTTTAGTGTCCGACAAGTTGAGCCGTCTGACTCATGGGAAGTCATGGGCCCTGTGGTGTGTCTGTCCACGCTGTGGTCCCCTCACGCCTCCAAGTCCTGTCCCCAGGCTGGGGCGGGCGTATGAGCGAAGGGGAGTAGCCAGGATGCAGGTGGTGGGCAGCAAGCCAGTGAGCAGGTGGGAGAGGCTGGGGGCCCTCCTGAGGGGCCTGGGCCCGAGCCTCAGTGCCCAGCACCCTGGAGAGAAAGCTTTGCCCTGAAAGGCATGGGGGTAAGGGGGAGGGGTGTCTGTGGCAGGGAAGGGGCTGCTGGCTAAACAGCCGTGACTCTAGCAGAGAGGGAGTGTGACCTCTGGGGTCAGAGCACTGCAGAGCTGGAGCAAAACAGCTGAGCCCCGGCCGTGGGGCCACGGGGGAGCCAGCGTGGGCCACTGAGTCACAGTGCAGAGAAGATGCTGTGGCCCCTTGTTCAAGCCCTCTGTGCACCTCGGCTGGGGGCAGTAAACCTACTGACTCTTCACAGTGACGCCTACTGGTTAGCCCCAAGATGAGCCATTCTTAGAATCAGACGACTGGCAACAGCAATAAGACCCCTCTTCCAAAATGTGCAATATCGAAACCATCTTTTCTGCCTGCATTTTCATCCCTTTGTCCACCTGTTCTCTTGCAACATGAGGAGGGGGTGCACGACACACAGGGGAATGTGCATGAGGGCAGACATAGGAGCTCGAGGACTAGTAGAAACCCCGTCCCACTGAAGGTGACACCGGAAGCCGAGTTCATGGGGGCTGCCACCCACTAAGAGTAGTGTAAATGATGTCAGATTTTGCATGAAGCGTTGCACATCAAACCTTTTTCTCTATTGTATTTCAGGCTTTTAAAAATGAGATGACTGATAGTGATGGCAATTTATATGCATCTGTTATTAAAAGAGTGCTTTTATTTTTTAAAAGAATGGGAAGAAATTCCATTTTTGCCATGATTGCGAAGCCCCCACTATGCGTGGGGCCTGGGGGCTACGACTCGAGCAGCAGCGGGAGGGACCCCCTGGGCAAGCAGGACCCAACAGGAGGTAAACAGAGCCTTGAGGGCACGAACTTACGATGAGCGAGGAGCTGGGCTCACGAGCCACAGGCGACCACTCCCGACCACCGCCCCGCACCTCTTCCTCTGGTGCTGGACGCGCATGGTTCAGGAACACATTGGGACACAGTGAAATACGTTCTGGATAACTTCAGCAATTTCAGCACATACAGTGGCCGACCTTTCGTCTCTAGTCCAGTTTTAACGGGCTCCCCATGTTGTTCTCTACTGCTTCTTCAGCAGCTCAGCATGTGACAGGCAAGGACATTATGTGGGGACACAGAGACAGATGCTGTGTCATCCTAAATCACCCCAAATCTTCCGGTGTCATCGGAATCAGCGAAACCGCTGCCTGATTCTAGCAGTGAACTTTCTGGCTCTCAGAGCTGCAATGGCGCGATTGGTCTGCAGTGTTCTCCAACACAGGAGCCGACCAGGTGGTGGCCGTGCCCTTTCAGAGGACGTTAGGGGGACGATGTCCTCAAAAGGAAGATATTTAAAGACCCATTCTTATGTGCTACCAATTAAGTGATAGGAAAGCAGGGGCATGTTTTTATTTGGTTTGATCCCTTCTCAGAATGTGGGAATTGTAATCTGCATATTATTTTAAAGAAAAGAATGTTTCCATACAGATCCCTGGTGTTTATCCACAAGGGACACCAAGGAGCAGGCAAGGGGATGGGGAGGACGGTGATGGCATCGCTTTTGGACTCGCCTGCCTGCAGACTCTCAAGGAGCACCTGGCGTGCACCACGCACCCGAGCACCTGGTGTGCACCACGCACCCGAGCACCTGGTCTGCACCACGCACCCGAGCACCTGGTCTGCACCACGCACCCGAGCACCTGGTCTGCACCA